TTATGTCGAATTTCATCTATATACTCGTATTTTTAGGCCAGTTATAAGCGTTAAAGTAATTTTCTGAATGGGACCTTATATAGGGGGGTAGGGTCAATTATGGTTCGATCCTCATAAATTTGGTAGACAGAATTTGGTTCGTATTAAACTTATTTGTGTCGAATTTCATCGTTACACTCGTATTTTTAAACCATTAATGAGCGTTGCAGTCACTTTCTGAAGGGGACCTTATATGGGGGGTAGGGTCAATCATGGACCGATCCTCATAAAATTTTTTAGATAGATTTTGACTCGTATGAAACTTACTTATGTCGAATTTCATCTATATACTAGTATTTTTAAGCCAGTAATGAGCGTTAAAGTCATTTTCTGAAGGGGACCTTATATGGGGGGTAGGGTCAATTATGGACCTATAAATTTTGCATAGTGATTTTGGATCATAATAAACTTACTTATGTCGAATTTCATCGCCATATTCGTATTTTTAAACAAGTTATGGATTTTAAAGCTGCTTTTCGAGGGGCCACTTGTATGGGGGCTATCCGAAAACGTTGACCGATATTGCCCATTTTCAATACCAAACAAACCTTACCTATGAGAAATATTTATGTGAAATTTCAACCCTCTAGATCTTACCTTTCGGACTCTATCGTGCTTTCAACAGACAGACGGACGGACAGACATGGCTAGATCGTCTTAGAATTTAATGAGGACCCAGAATATATATACTTTTGTGGATCTATGACCAATATTTCGATGTGCTACAAACGGAATGACAAAATCAATATACCCCCCATCTTTTTTGATGGTGGGTATAAAAAACATTTTGCTTTGATTTTTTCTAATAAACGTCAAAAAATGTGGTCTGTCGACAGTCTCTTAATTTTAATCGTCGCTCGCTCCTTTTTTGTGGTTTGTCGACAGCAGTTTCAATTGTAATCAAGCTGTTACTCAGCAATGAAAATGCGAATTATTAAAAATATTGAACATGTCAAAGAAACCTTATCTTGAAAATAAGAAATGAACGAGGAGTCACACTAGCTTTCTTCTTTACAGGAGTTGTGCGCAATGATTGTCCGGAAATTTCCAAAATTTAAAAACATTTATTTTAATTTAAAATTTTTAAATAATTTCAGAATTAAAGTAAGAGTGCTGTGCCGAATCTTATATACCCTTCACCATAGTGGTAAATTTAAGAATTTTTCTTTAATTTTTCCAAAAAAATCGCATTTCGTTCATAAATGCTCTTCCATCTCTGTGACAAAAAATAAATTCAAAATAACAAACACAAATACTAAACGTTGTTGTTGTTGATTCCAGCGGTTTATTTAAACAAGCAAAAACAATGTACACACAAAAAAAACACAATATCAACGTTGCGTCTGCATGAAAAAAATACTAATTTTTTTACGAATTTTTCAGAGGTTGTCTCAGATTTTTGCTCATATCTCCGTTATTTATGAACCGATTTTGCTGATTTTAATTAGGAAACTTCTCGAAAGCATGTCAGATAGAATTATTGAAGACAGAGATCCCAAAGATATCAGAAAATTGATTTCAACACACAGACAGACATGGCTTAATCGAATCCACTATGCAGAATATATATATATATATATATATATATACTTTATAGTGTCGGAAAATTATATTGTAGAAATTACAAACGGAATGACATACTTACATTTATATACCCTTCTCACGAAGGTGAAGGGTATAAAAAACGGAAATATTAGAACATAAAATAATATAATAAGAAAATTATTTTAAAACTTTGGACAAATATGAAGTTGTACAAGTATCTCACTGTAAAGGTATAGCATGTGTTAATTGCCAGTTCAAAAGGTCCTTAAAAAAATTCGAATTTCTAAAATAGTTTTGAAATTTTAAATAAATTTTTTTTTAAAAGCAATACAGACCATAAATTGAATTTTTTCGACATATCTATTGTTTTTGGACTTACTTCGACTCTTATATACAAAATCGTTCAAGATAATCGATTTATCAACAACACAATTTTTGCTATCCATCACATTTAAAATACAAAGTAGTTGAAACAAAACTTTTTGCGATTTATGAAAATTTTACATTTTGTATTTCCTATTTTAATGTCGATTTATAGAACCCTAACTTCTAGCGTTCTATAGTTGAAATAAAACAGTCTACTTACGACTTATTGCAATTTATGAAAAGTCAACTTTTCTATTATTCGACTTTTTCAATATACGAAATGTAGATTTTGCAACTGTTTACAATTTGGTAATTGTCGACTTTGTCGACTTTTTTTAATGTTTATGTTAAAAATATAATTATTCTAGGTTTAGACTGGGTAAGATTAAATTATAATCCAGAGTATAGACTAAGATACATACTATAGACTGAACTGGCTATACTGACTATAGTCCGATCTATAAACTTTACTCTAGCTTATAATCCATCATTTTAGCACATGTATGTAGTATTTTTTGGTTCTTTAGAAGTTTTTATTCTAAAGAAGCGAAATAAATTGAACATGTTTTAGTTTCTGACCACTATTAAGTAGGGAATTAGAACTTGAAAATCTATAAATCCATATATAATTGAAACAAAAATCGACTTTTATAAAAAGTCGACTGTCCGACTTTATTAATTAATGAAATGACGATTTTATGACTACAATTTTTAATAGTCGACTTTTCGAATTTGCCCTTTACTTTTATGTTAAAAGAATAATGCTTTCATGTTTACAAATGAAAAACGTTTGATTTTTTTAAATTTTAGACTGATTTTGTTATTATATACGTTTGTAACAATATTGGCCGTAATGGGTAAAACCTACATATACGAATTTTCTATGTCCGTCCGTAATGAAAAAAATATTTTATTCTAATTTTTTAATATCGCCATTTTTCGACTTTTATCTACAAAATTTATTATTCCACTTTTTTCTCACAATATAGCCTACTTTCTTATGACAAAATAGTCGACTTCGAATAAACGAACAATCGACTTTTTGTCGAAAAAAGTTGAAGTCGACTATTTTGTTCCAAAAGAGTCGATAACTCGACTATGGTCTGTGAAAAAAGTCGAAAAGTCGTCTTTGTTAATAAAAGTCGAAAAGTCAAAAAAGTCGATAAGTCGAAAAAGTAGAATAAAGTCGAAAAAAGTCGAAGAAAGTCGAAAAGTCGTAAAAAGTCGAAAACTCGAAAAAAGTCGAAAATTCGGAAAAAGTCGAAAACTCGAAAATTGTAGAAACAAGTCAAAAATAGTCGAAAATTTTAAAAAGTGGAAAAAAAGTCAAAAAATAGTCGGAAAAAAGTCGAAAGAAGTCGAAAATAGTATAAAAGTCAAAAAAGTCGGAAAAAGTCGAAAAAATTCGAAAAAAGTCGAAAAGTCGAAAAAATTCGAAAAAAGTCGAAAAGTCGAAAAAAGTCGAAAAGCCGAAAAATAGTCGGAAAAAAGTCGAAAGAAGTCGAAAATAGTATAAAAGTCAAAAAAGTCGAAAAAATTCGAAAAAAGTCGAAAAGTCGAAAAAATTCGAAAAAAGTCGAAAAGTCGAAAAAAGTCGAAAAGCCGAAAAAAGTCGGAAAAAGTCGAAAAGTCGACTATTTATAAAATACTTATAGTCGAAAAGTCTAAAAGTCGACTTTTAATTAAATGAAAAAAGTCGAAAAATCGACTTTTCATAAAATGCAAAAAGTCGAAAAGTCGACTTTTAACTAAATGAAAAAAGTCGAAAAGTCGACTTTTCGTTTCAACTATAGAACCCTAAACCCTATTTGAGAGTAACTTGACTTTTAGGGTTATCAGCATTCTTAAATTTCCAAAAAGCGGCTTCTTGACTTTTCATATTTAAATGTGACTGTTTTGTTTTGCCTAGCATTGTTTCGCATTTTATCCCGTTATTTGTGACAATTATGCCATGAGTATACTAAATACAACATATGCTATATTTTTTCAGCCGTTAACTTCTTCAGTACAAAAACTAAATGCAGTATTGTACAGGCAAAATTTTATATTATTATAAAAAAGTTTGCGATGGTTTTCTATAAAAAAAATATAGCAGTAGGACATTAGATCTAATCGAATTTTATTCACATGCTGAAAATGCCGAAAAGCCAAGTTAAACTTTTTAAAAATATGTTACTGCAACTTACGGAAATTTAACTTTATTTTAAAACATGTAAGTCAACTTTCCATTGATAAAACAATAAAAATATCGACTTTTAAATAAAAAATGACCAGTGCCCCGTTTCTATAATTCTCGCATCGAGAAAATCTGTCGAAAAATTCATTATCATCTTCTGTAAAACAGGGTGAATACAAGAAATTTAAAAACTTCTAATTAAATTTTAATGAGTGCAGTTTAAAAATAATCAGATTCACACTGTTAAATACTGGAAGACTATTATATTTTAAGTCTTTTCTCGATTCGAGAAAATTACAGAAACGAGGTACAGATTTTAACTGGAGTTCTATAGTTGAAATAAAAAGTGGACTTTCTTCAATTAACTCTTCGACTTTTCGTAATTTATGAAAAGTTGACATTTTCAATTTACAAATAGTCGATTTTTCGACATTCCGATTTTGTTCACATCTTAACTTTTTTTTATTTTTTTTTTAAAATACCTGTTTCCAGGTTAATAAAATTAAAAAATGTTAGTTTTTAAAATGAAAATTGTAATAAAAATAGTAGAATTACTGAATTTATTTTTAAGCCAGAGGTTTTAGCCTGATTTTGCCATTATGTACATTTGTAACAATAACAATTTACCTATTTGGTCAAAAAGTCTTTTGTTCGATTGTTTGACAGTCGATTTATTTAGCCCAACTTATAAATTCCATAATTAACACATATACCTACCCTTAACTATATTATTTTACGTCATACATGGCAACTCTTTTGCACATCAAATATAAAAAAACAATAACAACATTTAACGGTAAAAATTTCATTCAACAAATTGCAATAACAAATACACCAAATGAAGTAAAAAATCAATGAATAGAAAAATACTCACACATCATTCACCCAAGACACCGATACGACCGACGTTTATTCAATTATTTCTTTTTTCATACTTGTAGTCCGGCATAAACATATAAAACAATTGTCTTGTATTGAAAAGGATTGACACAAGTAACAACAACAAAATCGCGTAATTTACTTGCGAATGAATGAAGAGTATTCTACAATGGAAACAGAAAGAAAAGAAGAAAACACACAAAAAATACCGAACGTACTTTCACAGCTGATGAGCGCGATAAACTAAAAACAATTTGAATTAAATTTTCAACACGGCTGCAAAATCAAGTACTTTTTTTTCGTTTTGTATGTGTGTGGGACGAAGGGGTTAAAATGGGTAGAATTAAAATGGACAGTGATGTACGTAATTATAGGATAATTGTTGTTGAATGGATTTTTCAGTTAATTTTGAATATATGTTACTTGTATATTACATACAAATATGAAAGTTCAAGTAGTTATTAAAAATTAGCAATTAAAGGTTTTCATAGGTGGATAGTAAAACAGACAGACTGAAATTATGTTTTATATCACATTACATTACAAATACCTATTATTCGCTAAATGTCATTACAATTTAAGAATTTAATTAAATATTACTAGCACCTACAATGAAACAAGTAAGAAACTGTGGATATTGGGGTCTACTGAGCTTCAATAATTAATGTTAGCGCATTTTAACGGATTTATCTTAATATTTAAACAATTTATTAGCGATAAACTGACTTTCTAAAAAAGGCTAGGTATGCGAGATATAGTTAACTAATGTCCGTAATTTCAAGAAATAGATATATGTATGTATGTATCTATATTGTAAAGTATTGCATTTCAAATCAGTATTTATATTTTTACCCCAAAGGCTACTATGCACTAGGGTGATCGACTCGATTTTTCAACCGGTTTTAAAACCGGTTTTTTCTGCTTTACCAATGTCTTTTTTTTCTTAATGTTGATTTTTCGAATATCGAATAACCCGGTTTTTTCACTTTTTAAAAACCGGTTTCGAATACTTTTATTTGCTTTGTATTCAAAGATTATTTAAATGAAATTTTTAAGTAAAAAATAATACAGCCCGTCTAAATTTCAAAAATATTCGAGTCGAGGGACTAGCGTATATTTTTCTACAGCTCCTTTGGTTAAACTTTTTTGATTTTCCTAATTAATTAAAAAAATTTATTTGTAAAATTGATAACTGTTTGATAAAATTTTATCATTATATTATATTCCAATTACAATAATTAATTTACGGCTGAAATTTTATGGAAGTGTTGGATTGCCTATGAAAATTTCTAGGCAATCCTAAATTGCTAGGATAACTTTTTTCCTAATTTTTTTATATTAAAGAAATAATGTAAATCAGACGACTAGATCTAAAGTTATAATCTTTTAAACTGTTAAAAATCATTTCGGGCGATGTTTTATTAATCAAATTTAAACATAAACATAAAGTTTTTCAAATTAAAATATATTTTTTTTTTATTTATGATGAAAAACCGGTTAACCGGTTTTTTCTGAATTTGAAAAATATCAACCGGTTTTTTTTAAATGTCAACTATTCGAACTATTCGAAAACCGGTTTTTGGAAAATGTCGAATAATCGATCACCCTACTATGCACATAAGAACCGAACCTCATAAAATTTTCCAGATGGAGTCATGCTCATACAAAAATGTTTCATGTCGGATTTTAAAGTTCTATCATGGATTTTAAAGACATTTCCTGGGTGGCCTGAGTCAATTATTAACCAATCGTAATACAAACATAGCACTATGGCTTAAAATCTTTTATTTTTAGATATAATTCGGTATATCTGGAACTACTGGAAATGTTATACCGAAAATGGTTTGAGTTGAGGTGTTTTCGACGTGATTGACAGTTGTATGTGATCGCGGACTGGGGGACAGTGGGTAGAATCTCAAAGTTGGTCACTTTGGGGGTAATTTTTTATTTTTAAATTTTCCCAATCTTTCTTTAGTTTTTCAGATATTGCGGGTCTAAAAAGTCCCTATATTTTTCCTTTTATAAAAAAAAAACATTTTCTTCGGGACTATATAAAAATTTTATATGATCCGAAGAGATTTTAAAGCGTAAGCGCAAAATAAAATTTGTGCCCTTTAAGTGGGCACAGGACCACTTTCTTCATTAAAACTTGGTCAATTTTGGAATGCTCAAATCAAGCTATCCGGCTGTTTGCGACGTAGGTAAAATAATGAACCGATTACAATAATATTATAGACCAAATTACCGATAAACTTCCATGCCTAAGTAAAAGCGACGAGCAAATTGCAAATAGTCGACTTTTCTTCAACTATATAATATATAAATAAGTAGGGTTTTCAGTGTCGCATAACGTGTACTTTTGAAATTTTTTATAGGTCGACCTTTTTCTTTTTAAATCGAATATTTAAACTTATTTTACTTCGTTTTCTATATTTACTTTTATTTTCAAAACCGAGTAGACGATTTTAATTTCTAAAATAATCAACAACGACATTTTCCGACAAAAAGTCGATTGTTCAAAACATGATTTATAGAACCCCACTTTATAGGTTTCTCTAAAAAGTTGAAGCAAGTATTTTGATTAAAAATATTCGGCAAATCGACTATATTGTAGAAAAAAGGTCAGAAAATTCGATATTAAAAACAAGAATAATGTTTTTTAATCGGCGATTACTCAAAGTAATAACAAATAATATTTGTCGTATACTCTTTATATTCCAAGAAAAATGTTTTGAAAATAATTTTACAATCTATAAAATGTTATTTCCGATTTTATTTTTGTGTTTAATTTAAATCTTCTTATAAATCCCAAATAAAAACAAACACATCATTATTTACTTCCGTATTTAGGAAAATTCTTGAGAATTAAATTGTTAATTTTCAACAAAAGAATGAAAACAATTTGTATTGCCAACAATTAAACACCCAACACGAAATGTGTTTTTCTTTTTTTTTTCATTATTGGTTGCCATAATTGATCTGTGATCGATCAATGAATTTCGGCAATTATCAAATGAACTCAACAAACAATTAGAGAGTCCAGGCAGGGATCAAACGTCAAGACCGCATTAGACTTAAATAGCAATTGTTACAAAGATGAGCAAATTTACCGCACACATTCAGCTCGAGCATGCAAGGATTTTGTTGCCAAAAAAAAAGAAAACAAATTAAAGGTTAGAGAGAAACTCAAAATCAGTAAATTATCGACTAAATTGCCAGAAACTGACCGAAATTTAAATTAAAGAAAATTGTTCTTCAACAGTGGCGGTGGTTGAAATCAGAAACAAAATCACATTTTTGAATGATTTTCTGTCCGTCGGCTTGTTTATCATTGTTTATGTCACGCACATTTATGCTCTTATTTGTTTTAATTTCTTTTTATTTTTCCTCAAACAAATTCCAAATAAACTCTATCAAAGGGCCAAAATAAAAATAAAACAAAAAATCACCTTAATTTTATATTCTGGGTGATAATGTAGTTTTTGTGTTTTTTTTTTTCTCTTTTTACATTGTCAACGTGTTTTTCCCTTTATTGGCCCGTACTAAATACAAGGTCTATTGTATAATTTTCATATTATGGTAGAAAATAGTGTAAAAGAAAATCCTTTGTTAGTTTTACTGTCTTTTTTTTTTTTTTTTGTTAAATGCAAAACACGCAAACATCACCACATGACGTCATTTCGGGTGTTTATGCCGCCGTAACCTTGTCCTTTTTTAACTATTAAGTCAATACTTTCAAAAGGAAAGTTGCTTTATTATATTTTTGATATAAAAATGCAAAAATAAGAAAATATTAAAAAATACTTCTCCACAAAATAAAATTTAAGAAAATGCTCGTAAGTCCAGCTGAAAAAATCTGATATATGTAGCTTAATCGACTCAGAAAGTGGTTCTGGGCCGATTGGTATACATTAAGGTGGGTGTAGGACCAGTATTTTTTATTACTTAAGCTGGAGGTCCATTGATTCTACTTTTTTGACAGCCGCGTAGAATGTGAAGTGGCGAAGAACGCGTGGTGTGGACCTCCAGCTATATGGACCGATACGGAAAAACTGTTGCAGAATGATAAATATGTGTACAAAACATATTCGTGTAGAATTTTATCCCGATATCATACCCAGCTAGCATTTGGAAGATTGTTGGATGATTAATCAGTCTTTTTTGAAATCTTTTGATGACCTAAAAGTGATTAATAATTTGCACGCTTAAAAAAATATTCGAAAATGTTCCCGATATATGATTAAACATTTATTATTTGAAAAAAAAAGCAATAACATATTGTATAGTAATCATAAATAGACCATCCAGGTGTTCAAAACAGGATTGTTTATAAATTTATTTTGTACTTATATTCGGCTCAGTCGGAAGATCAAAAACTGTTTTCTGTATTTGTCTGTAACAAAAATTAGTCTGAAGAGACTCAAAAATTACTAAAATATGATTCGAAAATTACTCTAAGTGACTCAAAAAAGATTAAAAAATTAGTCAGAACTGATCAGAAGCTGGGCTCATAAAAGTCTCGTTTATTGAGTTGCAGATAGGGTACCATTTTCTTCCGACGAAAGTATCATTCATGATCAGAAAATGAGCGCATATCATTTTAATCGTGCAAAAGAGTCATAAATGACACGAATGTGATCAAAAATTACAAAAGCTGGTTAATATTTTCAGAAGAAACTCGATCAGGAAGAACTCTCCCAGAATGGTTTTCATATATAAGAAACATATTCGAGTATAATTCTATCACGATAGCATTATCAATTCAAGAGTTATTTGTGATAAAGAGATGCTATGATAACTTATGCACCGATCGGGAAGGATTTGTATATATACAAAATATATTTGTGTAGAATTTTATTCCGTTATCACAATTGCGTAATGAGTTATTAACGATTAAGGGATTTTCAGAAGAAGGCTTTTACGGGAACTATGAGCAACTATGGGCCAATCGGGGGAAAAACATGATTCGCTTCATTCAAGTTTGGAACACTCTAATGTATACATCACATTCTGGTTAAATTTTGTCCCGATATGGTAATTTGTTAATGTATTATGTTTGTTTAATTGATTTTTAGAAGTGGACTTTATATGGGAGCTATAGTCAATTATGGACCGACCCAGGTTTTAGTTGGTAATACGATTTCAATTAGTATTAGGTTTATATGTTATTTACAACTTGTGATTTTTCCAGAAATTTTGATATATTTCGGATGATAAGTTCGATATACATATGGGGAA